TCTGGGTCCTGCCGCAGTGGCCCGGGAGATCCAGCCGGGCCCCAAGGAGGTGAAGGTGCTGCTGAACAGCTCGGCCGTGCTGCCGTGCCGGGCGGAGGGATGGCCCGTGCCCCGGGTGACGTGGCGGAAGGACGGCCGACTCGTACCTCTCCACGGGAGTGACAGGTACGAGGCTCTGAGATTTGGTGGCACCAAGAGCTGGCTCTCAGACCGTGCCACCCTCCACATCAATAGACCTTTCAGCATGCCTGGAGTAGAGAAATCACTGTCACTGTCCTGCCACGAAGGGCTGTGCCCTGTCCCCACGCCAGCTCAGCAGACACTTGCCACATCTGGCTGCATTGACACTTGTCACCTTCCCAGCCGCATGTCCCTGGTGGGTTGCAGTCTGGCCATGCAGAGCCCCCATGGGGGTCCCTCGCTCTTCCTCCCCAGGCTGCAGCTCCTGCCCGGCGGCTCCCTGCAAATCGACCCTGTTCAGGTCCAGGATTCGGGCTATTACCTCTGCATGGCATCCAGCCCTGCTGGCTCTGACCGGCGAGGCCTCGACCTCCATGTCCTGGGTAAGCGCAAGAGCCAGACGGACCCCTCCTGGGCTCACCACCCTGCAACCCACCGCTGCTGGGCTGCTCTCATCGGTACGACGACTTGTTGCTGCCCTCTGCTCACTGCTGCCATGCCCTTCCGCAGTCCCTCCCGCCATCGCCCCCGGGCCTTCCAACCTCATCCTGCTGGCTCAGCAGCCGGCCACGCTGGGCTGCAATGCCCAGGGATCCCCCGAGCCCCACGTCAAGTGGGAGAAGGACGGCCACGCCCTGAGCCCACACCTCCCGCCCGGCACCTACAGGTACCTGCAGCACCAACCACCTCGCCCACCGAAGGGTCCTGCCGAAGTGCGGGGTTTGCCCCTCTCGCTGCTCCCCGTGGGGCAGGGGCTGACCCTGATGCATGCCTTGCTGCACAGCTTGCAGTCCTCCGGGTCGCTGCTCATTGCCAGCCCTGGTCCCCGGGATGAGGGGCAGTTTGAGTGCATCGCAACCAACGCCGCCGGAGAGGCACGCAAGGTCTTCCTCGTGTCCGTCCACGGTGAGATCCTGGGGACTGTGGGTCTTGCTAAGAGTGGTTTTCCCAGGGTCTGTCACCACCTTGGGTGTGATGTGGACATGCTTCAGCCCCACACCGGGGTTGGATCCCCTCTAGAGGACTTGGCATGGGGATGGGCAAGAGGGGAAATAGAAATATCTGTGCCCATGTGCATGGGGATGGGCTCCCCTTCAGCATTTCCATGCAGCCCTGCTCACCTCCCTCCCTCACCTCTGCAGTGCCCCCCACCATTGCCGATGACCTTACGGACGTGGCTGTCACTCGGCTGTCCCCTGCAGTCCTCACTTGCTACACCTCCGGCGTGCCCCCACCCACGGTGTCATGGAGCAAGGAGGGAGCTCAGCTGGGCAGGCGAGGAGGGGGCTACCGCGTCCTGCCCACAGGTACGGGCCGGGGGCATGCAGCCCCGGCAGGGCAGTGGGTCCCCAC